CATAAGGTATAAACCCACAGGTAAAAGTCACTGCTCATCAAAAAGCATGAGAACAAGTTCTCATAAAACACTGATTAAGCACATGTTTTAGTTATGTTGTTATCCTGTTTTCTGGCTTTGGCCTAAAAGAGTCAAGCAGAAAGCCTGGATCTGCTGGTTCTCCAGCTGACCCCAGAAAACACGCATGAGTTTGGCGTCTCTCAGCCCCACGTCTCTGCAAGAGGTAAGGAAAAAACCAATCCCTTTTCCCTGAGTTGTGTATGTGGGTAAGATCTCCAGCGCATCCTTTTCCTCTGTGTTTACACACTGCTGAACAGATGGGGCCATCAGCACAGCTGGGGGAAGACACAACACTCATACAGGTAAAAAAAAGAAACAGACATTCACCATCTTCTATCAGGCTTCCACGAGAACAGAGTCGTGGCTTCCAGGAGCCAGTTACACCATTTATGTACACAGAGGTCAGGCATAACACTGGTAAGAAGTAAAAGGAGGGAGGCAGGCAGTGTGTGGAGATTACTTCACTGAAGCACTCAGTCAAACTAACTCAAGAGCTAGCCCATTCTGGTGGATCATCTGCTTTTGCAGAAAGACAAGGCACTTGACCACAGAAAGCTGAACTGGAGTCCGTAATTAATTTTCACACTCAAGAACTGTCCAGGAGACCTTCAGGGTTGTCACTTCAGCACCTTAAAGAAAATCTGACCTTTGAACACACCTTATGCAAACTTAGTAGGTAAATTCTTAGCTGACATGGGTAGATACAGCTTTACCTCAAAAGTAAATGGAAGTGCTCTCAAACGCTTAAAAACCAATTTCAAGTGGTCATAAAAAGTTCTGCTTTACCTGCACACCAAATGGTGTCTCTTTAATCCAAGGGACAGAAAGTGCCAAGGCAGCGACAGCAGCCCCATGGCCAGTGGGACACACTCCTGCCACTGCCCAGCACTCACCCAGGGCACAGTGCTCCTCTGCAAGAGCCTGGCACTGGTGGGCAGCAGGGCTTTATCCTGCTGGGCCCCTGCACACCATGTGTGGAGCTGGTGGGGCAGGACCCATCGCGCTGCCCACTCTGATCCGAGCGAGCAAATTGTGGTTCCTGAAATTAAACCCCAGCACCTCTAACTTCAGCCCTTTTCATTAGTCCTCTGTAGCAATGACAACGGGAGGAAAACAACACTGCCCGAAGGTACCCCAGCCATGAGTGACAGCAGACAGTAATGCACATAACTGCAATATTCATCAGTAAATTTTCATTAGAATTAACAAGGACAATTGTCTTCTTTTGTTCAGATTACCTTCAGATATGTTAAAAGTAGATTTGCGTAATTAATTACCAAACATAGGGATCCTTACAGTTCCTTGGAGGTTATTTCAGGGAGCTTGTTTGAGGAAGTCATCCCCATAACAAACATTATCTGCCACTTCTGAGCTTATAAATTAATTATGGTGATATAAAATGAAATACAGCTTGACCATCAAGTGGAAGGTAAAGCCCAGAAACTGTGATCAGCCATGAAAAAGCAAAATTACAGGAAGGTATAGATGCTTCTGTGAGGACTCCTGCGAGGCTAATATTAAATCAAATAGGTTATTCGACAAATAGAAAGTGCAAGATCCACCTAAGGCAAAATAGAAATGGGTGCAGAGCTTCTTTCCGGAAATGAGCTGACTGGAAAAAGCTAGCATTTCATACCTCTGTTACAGCTGGAAGTGGGGAGAGCTGTGAAATAATCCCCACCAAGAGTGTAAGAGGACAAACTAATTATTCTTACAGTTTAAATGGTAATTAATGGAAAAAAGCAGAAAAGATGGCCTCTTCCCTCTGCCTTAGTCCTGCATTGGCTCCTTCACAAAGCAGAAGAAGAGACTTCTGAATCAACATGTAAACTACAAATGTAAACAAACTCACTGGAACTAACTGCAAGTAGAATATTGAAAGCTTATAAACCAGCAAGCCACCCCCTCCATTTCGCTTCCAGCTGTGGAAGCTTGATACTGAAACATGATAAATTGGTGCTCTAAAAAGTAGCCACAGCACAGCATGAAGAACTCATCAGACAAAAGGAAGGAAATGCTCCTCCGCACCTTCGCTGTTCCTCACTGTTTGGGTGGCTGCCTGCATCCTCCCCATCCATTGCAGACCTGGCCCCAGCCACGGTGGCACTGCCCAGGTGGGGTCTATGGGGGTCACTGCTCCCTGGCCCCACAGACACCACAGCAGCTTCTAAAACTTCAGGCAGCAACTGGACAAGAGTCCTATTTCTTTAGCTAGAAGTAGTCCACAATAAAGACTTTAAACTCCTGCTGTAGACAATCACCCTTCAGTGAAGTCTAATACAAGGTTCTACTTATCACAGTTTACATTATTTCCTTGAATCTTTAAGTGAAACTTCAAAGAAAAATGTATAAAGATGATCCAATTACACAAAATATGCATGCATAAGGTATGTCATAAAAGCAACATAAAGCAGATTGATGCCAAAATTTAAAATGTTCAAGCTATCAATAGGGAAATATAGTGAAGGAGCAGGCGTTTGAAGAATTAAATCTATTTTCGGTGTTTCCACCAGCCCTGGTATATGTGCTTTAATAATGTCCATAATATTGAAGCACAAAATTTTCATGAAGGATGAGCAGCTTGATATTGTTCATTTTATTTTAATGTCCCTGTCGAATTATTTGCATACTTCCATATATTTTTCTATTTGTTAATGTCATAAATATAAACGCTTAAATAAAAATACATTTGTCATTCATCAATTTTTAGTGCAGTTTATTGTTTCTCCAACAAAGTGTTCGATATGGGATTCATTTTTATGTGTTACAATGGGTGTTTACATTTATCTCCTTGGTATTGCAAGTAAAAAATGTGTAGGTAACCCAGCTTAAAATCCTACTTTGGCACATCTCATTGCCCTCTCCAGACTGGAAGTACATGCCTACAGGTTTTGATATGTTTATATAGAGATATAATATACTTTCACCATGCATAAGTGATTGATAAAGTAATTTAAGGAAGTCTTATTGGTATTTAAAATAAAGTGTCATCTCTGCAACAGATTTTGGGAAAGCATTCTGCACAGCTTTCCTCAGTGAAGTCTGGGGAAATACTGCTCAAAGAGAACGATTTTTGCCCTTTGATTTACAGCTACCCAGTCTGAGAAACCTGAGATCAAACAATCCTCTCGATGTTCTGTCGTTGCCATCTTAGTGAACCAGCTTGGACAACTCTGATACATAAAGGAGCACATAGCGCAGCGTATGAAAACCCCGTCCGAGGACTCCAGCTGAGCACGGAACTGGCATCGCCCACAGGCCAGTGGAACGCTCCTCACCTGGAGCAGTGGAACCTCTCACCAGAACACGTTGGAGCCCTGCTGCCTGTTCCATAAGAAACGGCTGGTAGCAAACCAAATTGCCATCTCCTTCCCCTTCCCCAGGCAGGGTGGCTGCACCCTTACTGTCATGGGCTCTCTACCATCTTCCAGTTCTTTCTCCAAGGACAAATCTAGGCCAAGCTCTCGCAAACTTTCCCTGTCGAGCAGGGACGAGCACACCGATTCTTTATTGCCATCTAGTGACCAAAACTACTTCCACTGTTAACACCAAACAGGAGTACAACTCTGACGAATTCTGAAACCGACAAACACAAAAGAGAAACGAAGCTTGCTTTTCACCCTTAACTTTGTGCTGCCGTCTCCCTGTCCCTCAGACCTCAGATCTGCAGTAAGTGGAGACCACTGCTGCTTCCAGAGTCCTTTGTCTCTGACGTGAACGGGTCCTAGAGCTCAGCAATGTAGAAAGAGGTCACACCGCAGACATGAATGGCCTTGGTTTGTCTCCAGGGAGCTCCCAGAGCTGTGCAACAGGGGTTTCTTGCGGGTGAGGTGAGCACAGCACCCCAGCACCAGGGTGACGTTTCATGTAGCCACAACAGGCATTTCCTCACCCTGGGAGAAGGAAGGAGTCAGGTTGTTCCCAGCGGTATTTGAGGTCCTTCAGAGAGCTATTTTTATTTGGCTCATGTGTTCTGGGGGCTCACAAGTGGCTCTCTTCTTACCAAGACAAGTTCCTAGCAGCTTGCTCCCACATCTGCACACTGGGCAACAGAGCATGCCAGGGCACCAGGAAGAGTTGAGGAGTGCTGCAGCCCACCTGGCTGGCTCGTCTCTGTATGCAGGTGCTGTTGCCTATAACCTAGCTAGGAGCCTGACGTTATTGATTACTGAACGGCAGCGGTGCCAAAGGCTGTGTCACCTCAGACATGGTTGTGCCTGGCCCTCCTCCCTCCGGAGCCCGGGTATCCATGGCCTGGCCCAGCTCACGCCAGGACCACCAACAGCCACACGATGACACTGCTGCCTAAGCTTGTGAAATAAGCACCGTGTGCTTCGGAGAGAAGAAATGCCACTTGTGTCATGACCTTGGCCTCCTCCCTCTCCCCTCCACAAAGGGTTGTAAAGATAAAGCCGGCCTTGTGCGCTAATGTAGGATTTGCGACACTTCAGACTTTTTTTTCCCCATTTTGCCTCCTGTCTCGCAACACAAGGTGTTTCCCTATAGCTGCCCTGTGCTAACCCAGGATGGAGTGCAACCTGAGTCTGCAGCCGCATTGTGGTAACAGGGCTGGTGCGAGCACCATCCCCTCACCTGCCTGTTCCTGCCCATGTCTTGTCCTGCCTGGTAAACCAGGCTGTTTCTAGGTGCACAGCAACTTCCTTTGCATTCGGGCAGCAAAGCTTTCAGAGCTCCTTTTAAAAATGGATGAAACTATTTTCCTGTCTTTCTCTGTATAAATTATAGGCCAGCACGGGTACCTTAGTTCCAGCCATCAGCTTGTAAGACTGAGCACAGTTAAAGGCAGATAACAGAAAAATGGCACCTTGTAGTAAAACTGTTAACCCATTTTAGTGTTTATTGTTGTAAGATGCCAAGCAGCAAAGGCTGCTTCACAAACGTTCACAGACAGACATTACCATACAGCATCCACTCACTCTCTGTTTAACTTTTCCACCACTGGGCTCCATCAGTTGCCATTTGAATAAAAACGAACACTTTGGATGTGTCTGCAATCTCCCGAGACTAAGCTGTTTGTTTTGCAGTGGCTCACTTAAGTGAAGGAGAGCAGAATTTAATGGGCTTTAATTTCACCGGCTGTGCACTGAAAAACTCTTTAGTTTCAGCCCTCAGTGAGGGCAAGGGGAATTGGTGGAGCTCAGCACGACAAGGAATTCTGAATTCCCTATTTCCCCAAGACCAAACTTTTAAAGAAGCTGCACTCCCTGCTGAAGCAGGTGGCACAAGTACATTCCTAAGGGAATTTATACAGAAATACAACATGACAGCAGGTGTTGAGCCCCATCACTTCCACAGTTTTCTGGTGAAACTTTTATAAGGCCTTTTTTGGTAAGGAATAGAACTCTGACTCATTCTTTGCTCTTGATCCAGAGTAGCAAGTCACTTTTATTCATCTATAAAGCTGTCACATTTTGAGTGCCTTGGCCTAAATGAGCTGAAGCTTCAATCTGAAGATGTGCCTCTATTTCCAGATTTAATCACAAGTGCTCTAGAAAGAGTTTTCTGTAAAACAAAGACCAGTTATGAGTGGTTTTAAAGTTACAGTTTTACAGCCTTTTTATGTCACCACTCAGTTGAACAACATAAAACCCCCACAATGCAATTCAAATAATGTGTGTAATTAAAATGTACTTACTTTTACTTCAAGACTGGAGTCCTATAACTCAAAACTAGCCAAAACCCCTGTTTCTCACTTTGATTCTTTCTCTCTTTAATTTACCGGAGAGGAAAGTTTCACGGGGGAAGTAAGACCTCATTTACTGGCCCAAGTAGAAAAAGGGCAGATTCAGAACAAGTGTTTTCAGTTTCACTTAATTAATTGGACTGAGAGGAAACAATACTGCTTAGGAGCTGAAAAGCAGAAGGGATGTTAGTAAAGAGAGATGTGTTAGGATTCATAGCTTGTCTGGGACAGGGTGAGGGAAGAGACTTACAAGCCACCTATGGATCAGTGCAAATACAACTGGAGGTATTGTGTGGCATAATTATATCAGTACTTCTACTGAATATGCTATTTTGCTTCTTGTCTTCTGATACTATTCTTCAAGTCTCCATTTGGTGTTGAAGCAGACAGACTGGGGCAGAACATCTATTCTGTGAAATCTTTAGTCCTGGTCTCTGCTTACATTAGAGAAGGTGCTGCACTGTTCATAGTAGCATAATTTGAGAGGCACAATATGTATTAGTCTGAGTCAAGAGAGTGAAAACACTGGCTCTGAAGCAATGCTTGCTTAATGCAACCTCATGGGAAGCTACTGTGTGTTGGAATCTAAAGAGCTTTGTGATATTCTGAGTATTAGCATTTCTAGATGCACTTCCTCTGCAAAATACCCCATTGTTCCTCTCAACACAATGTAGAATAATCCTGAATGATTAATTCTGTTCTAAATTTCTGAAATTCTGCAGTACCTTTTTCTCCATGGCTTGATTCTTTTCACCCTGGCATTTTTCAATGATGTCAAAACCAGATATTTGGTCTAGAAAAATATGTAAGAGTCATATGAGGGGAGAATTTAACATTATATTTAACATGCAATCATATTCAGGAGGGAGAAAAATGGGTCCCCTCACAGTGATGCTTCAGCTGGACACGTTGTATTGAGAAACTATAGTCTGAAGAGCCAAGACACACTGTTCTTTCTTACCTCATATGTAGCTTTTCAGAGAAATAACCTGTCTGGTAATTAAACACAGACAATTCTCTTACACAGTTTCAAATGTGCTTACCAGATGTTGGCAGTAGTGGTCATCTGGGAAAGACTTACTGCACTTCCAACAAAGATTGCCACCAGTACCTTCAGAAGGAAAAAAAAATTGAGAGAAACACAGAATGTTGATTCCACTGGCCAAAGGGAATTAGACTATGACTACATTTTGCTCTTGGCACCACTCAAAACCAATCTGCTATCCCTTCTCTCAAACTTCAGGGTATTTGAAATTCTACTGCAGCTCCATGTTTTGTGGTTCAAAATGCTTCACTTCCCTGGCCTAGAGAATTCTGTTGCTATGGAGTTTTGCTTTCTACAGTTTATTTTGCCAACTCCTGCACCTTCTGATGCCTGTTCTTTTCTGGAATCATTGACAGGATTAAGGAATTTTTTTGTTTGACACAGTGCCCAATACCTTAGGCCTAATAAAGCTCCTCTCAACTTCAAGAAACCAAGGTATGCATCACTGGTTTTATATATGAAGTAGGAGGAAATTCTAAATCATTTTTTTCCTGTGAGACAAAGAGAAAGAGGAAGAAGTTCCATTTATTTCTGACAGGCAGAATTTCACTTCCAGGATGTGAGAGGCATAAAAGAACATGGCCAAAGACCTACCAGTCAGTGGAGCCACTTTGGCTTTACAATAACCAGCATAATAAAAAGCAACACTTGGCCCTTTCACTGTGGTTGGTTAAACAACAATCCCTTCTAGCTGAATTACTGAGAACTGTAGAGAAGGCAAGAGAAATTTCAGTGAGATTTAACAGAGTTGACCCAGTCCATGACAAGGAAGAATTTTGCAATGGCTGGTCTACACCCTCCTGCCATGTGGTTCTTCCTCTTCTCTTCATTACAGGAAAACTAGATAATGTTAAGGAAAATCCCAGAAAACTCTTCAAATGTCCACACTCTGTGGGGATGGAGAGGGAGCAAGATCTCTCCCCAGTGTTTGCAGAACCTGCTCTCTTCTGTCATTGTTTTTATTATTCTGGATAGCTTTGCCTCTAAGAGCAGAGAAAAAAAAAATGAAAAAAAGCCTCTGGTGCCATAACTCCTCCCTAAACAACTGCGTACCCATCCTTTAAAGGAGGAGCAGCAGCACTGCCAGACAAGTATTAGTTTTTAGTGGGAGTTTCACAAGCAGATTAGTTTGCTAGTCCTTAGAGAAACTATGGGGTGTCATCTTGCTTCCTTCCCAAATAAGTTCAATTCACAGCAGGACCTGAGCTGGCAGCCATACAGCTCCATATTTTTGCATAGGGAACTTCAGAAGAAATTTAAGTTAGAGAGAAAAGAACCAGAACTTCACATTTTCACTCAGTGCAAGTGATTTTCTGATGGAAGGCCTAGCATTTCTTGTACCAACTACTGCAACTGATCCCTTACAGCAGCATGACACAAACAGCTCTTCTCTGAGGTCATAGGTGCTGCCCAGTGTGGAACAATGAGATACAAGAGATGCAAAAAATAAGAACTGACCTTCTTAGTCTGTAAAATGAGAACAAGTATTAAGTCTTCTACTTTGCAGAGGGATTGGGAAGAGTCATTCACTAGTATTTGTATAATGTATTGTAATGCCATTCACAACACATGCCCCAGATGTTACTCGGAAACCAGTGTGGTTCATTTCCCATGCGAACAAGTCCTTTCTGTCCCTATTTTTCTCTGGGAAATATGAAAGAAGAAGCAAAAGGAAGCCCAATAAGCCATTATTTAGACTTGGGAATAATGAGTGTTTATCTGGATTTTGTAACACAAATTATGTAATGAGGCAGAGAAAAGGCTTTTGAACAAATATGTTAATGAGGTGGCAGCTAAGGGAAGGTTACAGAGCTGCCAATTCCAAATCACATTTTTTAAATATGATTTTCTTTTCTTTTTCTTTCTTTCTTTTGTAGTCATTACCCTGCAAGCATTCAAATGTGCTTTAGGGCTTCATGCAAATTATTCAGACATTACCAATTCTAGGTCAAGAAAGCCTGATCAGCAGCACACACTGACTGAGAAAACCCCACTGACTCAAAATTCATAATGAGGGCTTTTATGTTGGAAGTTGTTGGGCACAGGGATTGTACTGAAAGGACTGTTCGTTCAGAGCCTCAGAAGCTTTTCTTGGAAAAGTATCAGATGCTCCACTGGGAACTTAGTTGAAAGATACTCCTAAGGCAACACAGTGGACTTGCGGTGGCTGGAAAGTACTGATTGGAGGGAAAACGGAAAGTAATGAAACAGGGATTCTCTCTGAATGCTGGCAGTAACTCTTTCCATTTAAATTCCACGTAAACCTTTCAGCACATAACATTATTGTACAAGAGGTCCTCCAGGCACCTTTTTAAGTTGAGCATCACACAGAGGTAAGTTCTGAGCTGGTTATTTTTTTAGTGTGATTTCCAAAGCCTGGGCAGAAGACAGTTCTGCCGCTGCTAAGTCCTGGGATGTCTCAGGGTCAGGTTTTTTTCAGTTTTGTTTCTCAATCTCAAGTATGATACATCTTAAAGGCCTTGTTTAATATAATTTTGTTAACACTTTCGTACCTCTGGATGTTGCATGGAGCCTGCAACATAACTGTGTGGAGAGTTTTTGTCTTGAGAGGAAATAACAGTTATCTAGGTCAAACGAACTGCTTTAAAACAGGCAAACTGTACTTGTGTGCTTGAGCAGCATTTGAATTAGTGGTGGAAAATATGTGCATCTCTAATTAAATGAATCAACTGGTACCTGGAAAGCCTCCTTGCCACAGACTATTCCTATCCAACACTAACAGGAGTAACTGGGATGATTGGCTTGTAGTGAATAACAGAAAAGCAGCTTCTTGGGGAAAGGCCTAAACTACACTAAAACCTTTCTTTCCCAATTTTTCCACCTGGACTGATGACCCTGGAATGCTCATCTTCCAAGGGAACTTGATTTCTAACCCCTTTCTACTAGCCAAAACAATGCAGGTCAGCCTTTGTTAACTAGTCTTCAGCAGGGTCCCTCTTCTGAGTGGAACTCTTTACAGTGACTTACAACATTGAATCTGGTATCTTAAGTTCAAATGGGAAGATCACAAGACTGTGTGTGGTTTGATAACCAGGCTGTCAAGCTCATCTATGAATCTGCTATCTTGAAAGTTGCGGCTATTCCTGTCCCAGCTGTTCCAGTTCCCAGCCATAACTGGCCCAGTCTCTTGGGCTGGCTTTGGTGCTCACTGAACACCTCATTGAACTTATTCAGCTCACTAACTCAGCAAAAAAATGTTCTGCTTTCTTCGTCAAGTCAAACTCCAGTGAGCCCCAGAGCCACCAGCAGAGAAACGGATAGAGAGCTGGGACAGATCAGTGGCAGTGAGCCATGAGATGGGCTTGGGTCTGTTACTGCACCATACCCTTGGTCCTTCATATGCTTTAAAATGCCTGTGTTTATTAAGGCAGCATAGCAGCAAATGGGAAGTGGTATCTAGTAACCAAGAAAGAGGCTGAGGTACAAGAGACCTGATTCAGCTCCTGGTTGTACTTCATATTCCAACCCATATCTAAGTCTCTGTAACACAAAGATCTGAGTTCCTTTGTACACTGATTTGAAACTTAATACCAAGAACAAAAAGAGCAGCAAATTTATTATTCAGTGAGTATCAAAATTTAGCCCAAAGGCTGCTACAATATTCCAATTCTAAATGGTGTCTGCAACCAAAAGTTACACCATTTTACCTACCATTTACCATAATTTTACCTAGTGTCATTAAAGAAGTAGTAAAAGACCATGAAAGCACACATCTTGCATAGATATTTGTAAATACTGCTCTGGTCTCTGCTATGTGCAGAGCTGTACTAACTGGAGGAAAAGATTCCTTTTTCTTGAAGGCCTGCAGTTAGTGCTCAATTAGCACAAGCTAAATTTCAGGCTGTGAAAGGTTTTAGTTTGAATGCTCTCTGAACCATCTAAAACTCCTGCTGCTGGAGGTTTTGCAAGCACGATGGGTTCTCTGCAGCTTCCTTTTGCCTGGCTTTCAGACTAGCTCTGTAAAGTAAGCAGCCAAGGCTTTGTCTGCCTCCTCCTTGGCACAGTGAAGAGGAAGCTCGTGTGCAAATTATGTGAAAGAGCTGCCATTCCTGTAGCACTCTCATCCAGCCAGTGCCAAGTATATCTGAGTTGTAAGCATAGACTGAGGGAGGCAGGGAACAGCTGGAAGACTTCCAAACCAAACATGCTCCTCTGTGCTTCTCTCCATTGGTACATAGAGACCCCTTAGAGACCAGTGCCCAGCCTTGGCCTTCATTGTAAACTGCTCTCTTCCCCCGTTTCATCCAGTCCTGCTCTCCCCTTCCTGCATCTTTACTATGCATTGCACAGCCTTACCACCTCCTTGTCTGAATGTAGGCATCTTTTCTCTTGTCCTCACTCAGTATTCTTATTCCCACCCACATTCTGCTGTTTATGATAATACGTGAATATGTGGTTCTAATGTTTGGATTCAGGCAACTTCTCAGCCTCCTGGTTCTTACAGCAGAATATGAATTGACACATGAAAACCTTCAATGGTTTATAAAATTGTGATAGTGCTACCTTAAATATGAAGTGTGGGTGGCAGGATGGCTTGAGCAAGGGGGTAACAAGGTCAGAATTTACCTTCAAGATTACCGGTTCAGTTCAGTGCAGGACTTTGTCCCCGCTGTTCTGCAACAGCCAGTGGCTTTGCTTGGGTGTACCTGAATTCCTAGCAGACTCCACAGGAACTGAAGCTGGCACTAATTCAATTTCTCCTCAGCAGAGTCAGCACAGATATTTTTCATGAACACATATTTCACATGCACTCCAACAAACCAACCTACTCTCCTCCTGAAGCACGCCTCTAGAAAAGGAGCCTACTTTTGCAAAACAAGTAAAGAAATGAAAGCTACTTATTTCTCTGGTCATGCTTAAGATTTTTCCTAGCTTTTGCTTTAGTCAGACTGCTGGGAATGCCTCCACATTTAGGTTTCGAACCTCAGTTTATCAGTCTTGGCCTTGATTCATAGAAAGATTTCAATTGCTAAGTTTGGGACCCAGGTCTTAGATACAACCACGCTCAGATAAAGGTGATATAGACACACTTTCTTTCAAATCTGGACTCCATGTTGTTCCTGAATCTCCCTCTCTCATTCACCTGGTATTGTCCAGGCAGCTCCATGGGGAAGAAGTGGGTATTTATCTCTAAGGGTCAGGTCCTTGCTGATCTTGATTGGCAACTCCCTGTTTTCCTCCTTTCTGCTTTATAATCTCTTGGGAGGCCTGCACCATATTCTTATCCCTGTCCCAAGTCAGCTGTTCCTAAGAACCCTAGGGAACATCATGTTTCTCATGCCCCTTCCCTTCTCCTCCCGAAAGTACACCATTCTGATTGACAATTGCTATCTGAACAGCAGAAAATCAATCACTCTAATTTCCTATTATTCAAATATTTGTTCTTTTCTGTAAATCCTTTGTTTTGTTGCGTATCATAGACTGTACTTTGCATAACACACTGAAGGCAAGCTTGCAATAATTCTGCACAACAAGTAAATATGGATTCCCTTCTCTGTATCGGACACTGAGGCATGGGCTAGTTAATTGCCTGCAGGAGTCCCTGATCTCATTCCTAGCTACAAGGAGACTCCTTTCACCCCAAAACTAGTGTTTGTGGGTTTTCTTTTCATTTTTTCTTTACTGCACTGCATCTCGTAAGACAGACAATCATATTTACACTGGTCTACCAAAGTGTGCCTAGTACAGCTCTTTTACAGTTAACTCTGCATTTTCTTATTTAAGTGCTTGTAGTCTCTTTTCTTTGTTGACTACAGACCATTTTTTCATTGGAGACTGGCCACAGAAATGCAAGTTTTGGCCATTTCCCTGCTTTCTTCTATTGCACTGGTGTAAAGTTTCCTCTGTGTTAGTAAGATACCCAGAGGGACTGCTGCTAAAGGTTTGAAGATTTGGAGTCAGTCCAGATCCGGTTGGCTGCTGTTTTCCTTAGTGGACATTCACTGCTTTTACAAACAAGACAGTAACATTGGAGTGTCTTGTTTTGAACTTCTGTCACTCAAGTTCCTCTGGTCAGCAGAGGACAAATAGCACAAGCTGTAGTCCAAGCTCCCTCGTTACTTGTTGTGGAATCTGAAAAGCATTATTCCTGTGAGTAACTGCTTGGTAAGACTGTACTAAGAGACTGAAGGATCAAACAGTTAAGATATGATTTACACCGGCCTTCAATTTCAGGTGGCTGTTGACATCCTAAAAGCAGAACATAAAATATCAGTATCTGCCTTCAGTCTGATTTCCAGTAGCTTCAGTTGTGCCTTTCTGGCATCTTGATAGTGTTTGCGACCCTTTTAGCGGCACCATCACTTAGGATTCCCATTCTGTGGCTACACTCGGACCAAATCACTGAAATGAATGGCATCAAAAATAACCTTTCAAGTTAACCTTTCTGGGTTATTTTTAACCCAGGTCTCAGGCACACAATCCCTCACAAAACAGTAGGCAGTGAAGCATAGCCATGCATGCCTGCACAGACCTTTGTTTTGGGGAGACCACCGCTGTGGTTTTAACTCTCATTTCCCTAAAGGAACTAAGTCCTTCCTCACCACTGTGTAAATGAGTGACAGATGATCCCCCTTGGCATCATCAGCACCTCCTGAAAGCCCAGCACCCGCGAGAAGCCGTGTGTCACACTTTGGTCCCCACACAATACGTATGATGAGGATATGGGCTTACTCCTGACTTTCTGCAGGCACCGCGAGCAGGGCGAGTTTTAAGACCCGCTCCCAGCCGGTGCCGTAGCTTTACCCACAGCCATGAGGCAGCGTTCCCCGTTCTGGGCAGAGGGGGATCTCAGGAACCGGGAAATGCCCCCGCCGTGTCCCGGCTCCCGTGTGACGGAGCGGCCCGGCCCCACCTGACTCAGGAAAACCTCCCGGAGCCGGCGAGGGCCTGCGGGCACCGGGCTCGCGCCTGGACGGCGGCTCCGCTGCGGCGCGATCGCTCCGGACCCGCGTCTGCAGCGCTGCCAGCCCGGTGTCCGTGAGGGCGGGAGCCAGCCCGGTGTCAGTGAGGGAGGGCAGGAGCCAGCCCGGTGTCCCGTGAGGGCGGGAACGAGCCCGGTGTCCGTGAGGGCGGGAGCCAGCCCGGTGTCAGTGAGGGAGGGCAGGAGCCAGCCCGGTGTCCCGTGAGGGCGGGAACGAGCCCGGTGTCCGTGAGGGCGGGAGCCAGCCCGGTGTCAGTGAGGGAGGGCAGGAGCCAGCCCGGTGTCCCGTGAGGGCGGGAACGAGCCCGGTGTCCCGTGAGGGCGGCAAGGAGCCCCATGTCCCGTCAGGGCGGGAGCGGCCGGCCCCCGTCCGGCCGCGGGCGGGTCGCGTCGCCCCAGCCATGTCCCTCCGTACTTAAGGCGGCGGGCGCTGCTCCTGCGCGCGCCCTGACCGTTTGTCCCCACAGAAGATGGCCCCGACCTGCCTGCAGACCCTGCTGAGATGCCGGTCCTTCGCCATCCTCTTCCTCACGCCGCTGCTGCTTCTGCCGCTGCCGATCGCTGTGCCGACGCGGGTAAGTGCCTGCGGGGCCCCCTCGGAGAACAGAGACCCCCGCTCCGGCCCCCGCTACCTCAAGAGCCCCCCCGCTGCCCAGGAGCCCCTGCCCCAGCAGCCCCTGCCCCAGCCGGCCACCCCGGGCCCTGTCCAGGCTTGCTGTGCTCCCGCCTGCTTGCCCGCCTCGTGCAGGCCATGCCCTGGGCATGCTGTGCAGCACTGGCCATGTTCGCCACAGCATCTGCCTTGCACCAGAGCAAAGTACCTAATCCCTGCTAAGGTAACTTCGCTTCCCCGCAGGGCACTGGAGCAGCTCCTTCCTGCACCTCATCTCTGAAGCATTTCTGCCACTCGGTCCCAGGTCTCAGGAGCATTGTTGCAGGTGTCACTCCCAAATCTTCAGGCACTGGTGCTCAGCAGCCCAACTCGCAGAAGGAGCTCTGTGCCAATCTCTATTCACCCTAAGGGTTGTGCCACTGCCAGGACTCGGGGCTCCCATGGACCCAACCTGTCTTGCAAATTGGATGCAATTCTTTTTGAGTCAACAGTAAATATACACATAACTGGCCTGCACATTTAGAATTGTATCTTGCACTGTCTAGTAGTGGTGGCAGTGGACTGAAAGGTAGGACATCTGGGATCTCCAGCCCGCTCTGCTGCTGAGGCTCTGCTACGCTTCAGGGAGAGCTGCTGAGTGGCATTCTTCATCAGTGGTGCAGTTGGGAGCTGTGCATTGTGCGTTACGCAGTGATCACAACAGGTTTCAAATGCAATATTCTCCAGTTCACATCCGTCTTACTCTAGAGGTGGTGATGGCACAACTCCTGTGCTTTCAGTGGAGTTATACCAGCATAAAATTGGAATAACTCAGTGAAGAGCTTGGTCTCTAATGTCTAGTAGCATTCTTGGCAAAGTGTGAAAGCTCTGTTTATGATATTTTAGCCTACTAGAGCTATAGAGGCTATTCTAATGCTAAAAGCAGCCTTTCTTCTGAGAGATTTGTATTGCTCAATGTATTATAAAGTGCAGGAAAATGTCATGCATATTTATAAAGCCAAGATTGCCAGCCACTCTGGTTCACCTGTCTAAGTAATATCAGCACTGCCTTTCAGTTGAATGCTGGTGTTTTACAGAAAGAGGAATTCCTGACTGTTAGACAATGATTTAACCAACACTAAGACAATTTCCATAAAAAAATAAATATGGGTTAAGTTTTTTGGTATTTGTAGAAATATTGTGTCATCAGTCTAATCTGGGAAATTACAGTATTTCACAGTGGGAGAGGAATATTTCCACTAGTGATTGCTTTTTCAGCTCTCAGTGAGAAAGCATCTCACTGTCTCTGCTGTCAACTGACTAGACACCAAAGAAACATTCTGTGACTGTTCCCATAAATCACAGATTGATGTAGGTAGAGATACAGACATATATTTCATTCCAGATCCTTGGTTGTTCGAATTGGTTATGGTTGGTTAATTTATAAGCATGGTTGTATTTTTGAACTTCATATAAATTATTTACTCTCCACTCTATGAAACCAGAGTTCCTTCTGTATTGTGATTTTTAGTACTTTGGGTTGTTTATCTGTGTTTCATACTGGCAACAGATTAACTACAATCAGTTCTAGCACTTGGCTACTGTAGTGTAGCATAAATTCTGTCATGAGCTCACCTCATACTTGTTAAGGGAAGAGACCTATAGGATCTGTCTGAAGAAATTTTTTTTTCAGAACTTGTGCTATAATTTATTCCTGGAAACCTGGAAGAAAAAAAAACAAACCCTAATTACTGACAAAGGCTGTTTTCTGGTTCCTCAGCTTCTCAAAAAAATGAAGGAAAACACACCCCTATTTATAAATATCACCTTACAGCACTTTTTAAATGTCACTGTAACACCATTTATTTTTGCAATAGAGTCCCATTTGTTGTTTTAAAATAAAATCCTATAAACACATACTCTAAACATGAGCAAATTCTGAACTACCGAACACTAGCTTAAGCTTTAAAACCCTGTTTACCGTTGGCTAATGAATGCTTGCTTCTCTGAACAACTTTGAAAGTACAAACCAAGAAAGGCTGTGGTACAGGAATGCCTCATCAACAGTGTAAAAAGGTTGCAACATTTCTAACCTGGGGAATCTCCTTTCCCTGTCTTTGTAAGCACAGTCTGAATTGGGAAAGCAGTAAAATACCTCTTAGTCACCAAAAAAAAAAAGGGGGAAAAAAAAAAGTAAAAGGATTTTACTTTAAGAGTTACTTTAAAAAGTTAACTTTTAAATGACTTAGTGATAATAGTTTCTGGGTTCAGGTGTGCCAATGGACACACCTCAAAGACTTGTGATTTCATACAAGCTAATCACATGCACTGGGAAATCTGGCCATCCATTTCAAAATAATTAACTCAAAATAGAAATGCCCAAATCTACAAACACTGTTAACAATTCTTGGCTCCTAGATGTGAAATCTGCTCACCTCAGCTGTCAAAAGGCAATTGTACACTGCAAACTGTATGTACCTAGTTGTGAAAGGTTTGTTTTTCTCACACTGTACATTTTGGGAGCATGTATTAAATACTGTGGTCAAAAAGATCTTTTTATGCAAGTGACTTCAGAACAAGGTTTAAAAGTACAAGTTTAAATCCTCAGGTTTTCTGCTACCTATTTCAGCGTAACTGGTTAAGCTACAAACAATGGAGTATTTAGGCCTTTTATAAGAGCTACCAACATGTTTCTTATCTTTAAGAATTAATTTTCTGTGCTTAAACGTGTCTTCCATCATATTGCAGGAGGCCAAATGTGCGTATATGATCATCATCATGGCTGTGTACTGGTGCACTGAAGTGATCCCACTGGCTGTTACCTCCCTCATGCCTGTGGTATTTTTCCCTCTGCTTGGAGTTCTGAGCTCTAAATCAGTAAGAACCTTGCTCAATCCAGATCTGATACAGGGAAATCCATTGCTGTGCTCCCCCAAAAATATTTATCAAACAAGTCAGATAGGAAAGTGCTCCAGTTCTGTGGTGCTGTTTCTGACTCTGTTGAGCAGTGTTCAGGGCTCCTGTATGGGAAGATGCTGAACTAAATGTATATTTTCTCAAAATGTTATGGGTGTGGGGCTTAAGGTGGTAGAGGGAAAGGTCTGTTTCTAGGCATGGATCCTGCTGCACCTACTAGTTTGTGTGTTCATAACCCATCCCATGAGAGAGCAGTGTGACATATTCTCTGTGAGATTTCAAAACGCATGGAACAAACTTCTTCCAACAGGGTAGAGATCATGATGCCAGCAATTACACTATGTCCCTTCCAAAGCTCATTCTGGCTGTTTGTGCTAGTGCTTTAGCACAAGGCTATACTAGGTACTGTAGCTAAGGTTCACTTCTGGCCAACAAGCTGGAAAGGGTAGGTGTGATTACTAAAGGTGCTAAGAAAGCCATTTTGGGGCTCAGCATTTCTGGTACCTACACAATACTTTGAGCTCCTACCAATGTTTTAGGAAACTGCTTCATTTTGTACTTTATTAACTCCTGATAATCTAAAAAGAAGGTGCATGATGCAAAAAAAAGCCCCTGCACTGAACATTTCAGCACTTGAGCAGGAGATCAAGAGTTCAGGAAACTGAAGTAGCTCTAATGCTGGATCTTCCCCTTCTGCCAGTGTTGGGATGGGGTCTGGTGCAGAAAATGGCTTTGAGAGGACAGGAAGCAAAACATATTAGTGAAGCTAGCAGGAGGCAGCATTTTGGCACCTGACCTACCTTCTCTGTCTTTCAGGTGTGCTTTCAGTACCTAAATGACACAAGCATGCTCTTCGTTGGAGGGCTGATTGTTGCAATTTCTGTTGAACATTGGAATCTTCACAAAAGGATTGCGCTGAGGGTGCTGCTGATTCTTGGGGCGAAACCTGCACTGTAAGAGTATTGCATTACTTCTTCCTTGCCTCTGTCAATTTTGCAGAGGCCTAGGGATGGTGTTTAACAGTCAGCAAAGAAGGGAACCTTCAAGAACCTCTTTAGCTCTCTGCACTTGTACAGACTTTACAGAGGTGAAGTTTGACAGCAGCAGCAGCAGCAGTGTATTTGTCCTTCAGCCAAAACCAGCACCTGACTAAATTTAGGTGCTTGCCTTTGGAGGCAGAATGATGACGGACTTCATCATGTGTAGACTAAGGAGCTAACTGGCTTTCTGGGATTCCTTCAGTGAAGGTGGCAGAGCTGTCCTGGAAGGAAATCTCGACACTACACAGATCCCTGTGACTACAATGCCTAGAAAAGTCTGTTTTCTTTTTCTCCTTTCTCCTCTGTTTCTCTCTTTTCAGCCTCATGCTGGGATTTATGGTTGTCACTGCTTTCCTGTCCATGTGGATAAGTAACACAGCGACCACTGCTATGATGGTTCCCATTGTCCAGGCTGTCCTGGATCAAATGGACACCACAGAGTATGATATGACCACAGTGGAACAAGCAACTGGGCAAACAAACAAAGTGATCGAGCTGGAGGAAAAGAATGCATCAGATCCCACTTCAGCACATGGTAGGGGCCTCTGCAGTGAGTTGATTCTACTGAGCTTGCTATGCTCAGAGCTCCCTGACCTAGAAAGAGTTCTCTGTGCCTTTTCCAAAGAAAGAGAATGGTGACCTGACTGAAAGCACCCAAATGCATGACACCTAGGTTTTACAAATTGGTTTCCAATCTTCCTGGTTGCCGTTTTGTTCTGCTTAGTGCTAGGTCCCATGCAGATTGTTATGTTCTTTCCTTCAAGCTGTGGTCATTCTCCCATAGTTTCCCTAGACTTAACTGCCTTCTCAGGGAACTGAAAAGCATATCCTGTGGGAAGTATAATCTAACCCTGAGAATCCCAGTCTTGTGATTATCAGTGGGGGTTCAGCTTCTAAGCCACATAGGAATGCTTGAAAAACTTTGTGCAAACACAGCCTATTTTGGTTCTGGAGTAATAAATATCTCTTTTTGACCTAATTGTATGTGGAGCTAGGGAGAAGAAAGAGAAATGCCTTAAAAGCTACATGGACAAGAGGAGGTGGTGTCATTTGACTCACAGTAGACAAACTGCTGTTTGGAATGCTTTCAAGTGTGATCTTAACCCAATGCTTGACTCCACAAGGTCCTTCTGTCAGTGCTGTGGTTCTGCAGTAGGTTTCACTTGATTTGAACCACGTGCACAAACTCAGTCTCTCTGGTTTCGCTTCTCTGTAGTGGAGGTAAAGAAAGCTACATTACTAAATACAATTAAAGATCAGATTTGTGGTGCCTTTCTCTTTCAGAGGAGGAAGGGGTGTTCTGGGGATCTTAATGGAGATGTGATTTTACCAAATTAGCAAGTTGATCTGCCACAATTCCCTGTGTGACTGTGTGCAAGGACAAGTGCAAACGTTGGTAGCTCATTCTGTGTCTCACATTTCAAGCTTTCTGCCCAGGGCACATCTGGCCCATTTTCTGGCTGACATGTCCATGGGAGACACAATGTAATAAAGGGTGTTTATGTATGCCAGACATTGTTCTCTTATGAGATTGACTCATAACTGCTATATTTGTTTAGACCTTGGAGACATAGTTTAGATACAGCTGTGATCTCTGCTTTTTGTTTGCTTTATTTCTCATCTCACTTGTGAAGGGAGAATGCATTATGATTGTACAAAGCTCAGACACCACGTTTATGTAAGATGTGCAAACCCACAAGTATGTCACTTGGTCACACAGAGTGCTCTGTAAGGCTGCTCATTTCTAGCTTCCAAACAGTTATATTAAAGATAGATTTTCGTATTTGCAAATGCTCTTTTTAATGTTGGTTAGAAGGATCTGCATGGCTTTGCTGGCTAATTTATTGTAGCATGTAGTGAAGGTAGTAAATGGGTGCAAAAATACCTCTTGGTATTGTTGAGTTGGTTGTAATTGCTATAAATTCATTGTCCTGCTCCATTAGTCTAGTCAGACTTCAAAATTAGGTTGTTAACCTCAGAGAACAATGGACAAAGCAGCAAAATTTCATGGCTGATGTAAACTGACACAACATATTGATCTTAACAGTTACACCAGGCAATACTTTGGGGTTGGGGGGGGGGGGGGGGGGGGTCTGCCTATATTACAGCTAGTAAAGCTAGTTGGGTTCTTTCTGTGGTATTGGAATGGTTTCAATGACTTCAGTATGTGGCTGGTGGTAAGCCTCTCTGTGAAACAGGAAATTACTGCTGAGAAACTATGGCACCTATACGGACAGCAGCATCTTTGGATCATGTAGACCCAGATATTCAGTGTCTCTCTTTAGCTGCTCATGAACATGAGTCCAAAGTATTTGGAGACATATCTGTGTTTTTTTGAATTAAAATAAATGGCATACACAAAGTGTACTGAACCTACAGACCCTGTCCTGAACTTTCTGCAACGCTAACTTTCCCTTAGTTGTGTTCTTTGTGTTTAGCCACAGGCAGTGGACAAGACCCTGATGATGCCAGATCTGAGGAAAAGAAGAAGAGGAAGCGGATATGTAAGGGAATGACACTTTGCATATGCTATGCTGCCAGCATTGGGGGAACTGCAACACTCACTGGAACAGCACCAAACATGGTGTTGAAAGGCCAGATGAATCAGTAAGTAATTTTTGCTTTTTCTCTTACTTATACTGTTGTACTGTTTCTGTGACCAGCTGACTCATCTTAGATGACAGTTTCAGTTGCAGACCATAAGCAATAACCAGTTGGTGAACTAAGAGTGAGGAATGTGTATAAAGTGATGGGACTCATTGTTTTGCTTCAGCCTTTTTTAGGCAGCTATGTGTTGATGTCATAGGTCTCCTGAGAAACTTGGCAATACTTGCTGGCAATCAGCAGAGAGCTTGTTAATCAGAGATACTGGTTCTTCTGCCTCCACTTTTTCAACTGAAATGTAACACATCAGCAGAGGAACTGCAGTGAAGAGCATCAGAAGGATGTATGATTAACTCTTCTCATAAGTACACTGAAGAGAGCTAAAAATAGTTTAGCCTCCCTATAATATTATTCCTCCATGCTGTGGCTGTGGAAACTGTGCAGCCACTGTTGTAAAGAAAAGGAGTTATCCACAAAATACTCTCTTCACTAAGCTGAGTGTGGGAATTGATCTAAATGCAACATAATTTACAGTGGAAATTTTGCAGATTCCACAACAGTCCCTCCACAGTCTTTCCAAGTCCTGTAAGTGTAGATGAGGCCCTCAGAGACATGGTTTAGTGGTGGTCTTGGCAGTCCTGGGGTAATGGTTGGACTTGATGAAAAAGGTCTTTTCCAATCAAGTTTATTCTATGATTCTGTTGGGAGTACTTCAGCCTCAGCTGCCACATTACCCATTCGTTTTAACACCCAGATGGAAATTTGCTATTGAATAAAAATTGCAGTTCTTAAAATACTGACTTCATTTTTTGAAGCCAGCCAGCAACTTTGTCTTCTGTTGAAGCGATCTGAAGTACAGCTATTAATTTCAGGGAAGACAATTCCTGCTCTATTAGCATGAGTGGGGAGGAAGAAAGAATGTCCTGTCTTGGGATAAATGAACAGGCATGTTGGAAGTGAAAGCTACCTAGGATGTGTGTGGAATCTTTCAGCAGTGCTTGTCTTACTGAGATCTAAAAGATCAACATGAGCTTCTATATGCATTAAAATAAAATACAGGAAAAATCAAGGATTATATAGGTTTTCCCTGAAATCAAGGCTGCCTTCCTCTTGACTTCAGTTAGGCTATGGATGTTACCTATAATTACATAAATGTTTGTCCCAGATTTACATGTACATTTGTCATTTGCACATATTAAAGGAAGAGCAGATTACTAAACGTTTTGACATTCATATGGAAAACATTTATCTTTTCAGGTTATACCCCAACAATAACGATATTGTGAATTTTGCTTCCTGGTTTGGGTTTTCATTCCCAAACATGATTCTTATGTTGGTACTAGCTTGGCTTTGGTTACAGTGCTCCTTCATAGGACTCAAGTGAGTATTTAACTATACGATATTGTGGAAACCCCTCGGCTAATGTAGATCAGCTTATTGATAAATACGGGTCAGACGAATCCACTGACAAGTTACTAATTTTGTAGCAGAAACCAGTTCCATTTCACAGGAACTTCTGAGGTCTGGAAACCTTTTGTGTCCATGGGAGTTGCACTAAGGCAAAGCTTTATATATTCTTAATATTCAGACATAATTGCCTTCTTATATTTCAATTTCACATCTGTGAATGTCAGCCCTAAGAGAGCTAGCATATCTGGTTTGCTACCCTTGATTCAAAACTGTGGCTTTCATTCCAGGCTGCTCAAAATTGGACAGATACTTAGATCCATTCATAGACCCCATTCTTCTGTGAGAATTAGCATGTCCCCATGAAATACTTTGACACTCTTGTCATTTCTTTGTTCCTGGCCTCTGCTATAGTCTGTGTCTGTGCCCAGGAGTGACAGCTTCAGAATGGCAAGCATGTTAAATCCTTCTAGTATGTTAATACTTACAGTATTTTCTTCTCCTTTTTTCTTCAAGCTTTAAGGAAAGCTGGGGCTGTGGAGCAGAGAAAAGTGATAAAGAAAAAGCTGCGTACAATGTGCTGAAGACAGAAATGAAGAAGTTAGGCCCTATCTCTTATGCTGAATTCAATGTCCTCCTGATGTTTATTTCTCTGGTTCTCTTGTGGTTTTCCAGACACCCAGGCTTCGTAAAAGGCTGGGCTGCTGGGCTCTTCCCAGGAGGAGAAAAGTAAGTTTTAGGGGATTTTTGTCCTGCACCCTCTTGACTGTGAATCAGATTCCCTTGCTCTTGCATTCCATTTTGAGTGTGGAGTCATTAATTCCAACCTTATTGAAATTCACACGCTTCCTGGGCTTGATCCTATCGCTTGTGTGTGAGATCACCAGTTGAGATCTACTGTTTGACAGTTTGTACTGCAATGAAGGTTGGAGGCTGGGACATGGAGGAAGCTGAAACTCCTAAAAAAAAGAAACTTCTGCAATGGTGGTCTTAGTCACACTTGTATATGTGTTACTGTTTTGTTTTTATGAGCTCCAATAAGTTGCGGTATCATATGAATATTTGGTAATATCACCTCTGAACAATAGCTTAGAACTCACTGGGAAACTGATTTGGTGCTCTGAATGGCTTCTTTGCAGACTGTCTGTGGCATATTAAGGGGCATAAAATGCCCTTAATGCACAATGGGATTATTATTCAGGCCATTTCTTTACACATTGTTCTTTGAGATACAGCTGTTGAACGCTGGCTTCACCACAGAGCAGGAGCAGTTGTCATCTGTGACTCTCGTTATTGATGTGCATTGTAGCTAGTTTCTTTTACTACTGTCTCTGTTGTGGCAGGTCTGAGAGACCTCAGTCGTGACCTAATGACCCATATTGCTAATGTATAAGCCCCAAACAGGACACCAAAGAGAGTGACTAAGATGCTAGAAGCCAGCCATCTTCTAGGAGGAAAGATACCTATTTTCTAAGCTATATTCTCTTTTCTTCTTCAGGTATATCACTGATTCTGCTCCTGCTATGTTTATTGCCTTGCTACTCTTTATCCTTCCTGCTAACAAACCCAAATTCACAAGCTGGAATGCAAGCACATCTGACCCTGAAGAGACTAAAGAAGGTATTTAAAAGAGAAAGTGTAACACTGTGAAACAGCCAGCTCCAGCTAACATGACAGACACATATAGTGGATTCACATGCAGTTCTTCAGGGTAGCTCACCTCTCTCACTTCTTGGGCTAGGCTCGGGCACAGTCCCTGCCCATGTGTACTACCCTTACCCTATGCAGGTTTCTCAGTAACATGCATCTGCCTGTTGGGTCTTTTCCTGGTAGCTTATAGAACAGGAGACAAAATGTCTTCACTTTCTTAAAACATGTTCTGCTTTTCATTTCTCACTTCAGATACAAAAAAGCCATTTTTAACAGCCCCGCTGCTAGAGTGGAGTGTGGTTCAAAGGAAGATGCCCTGGAGTGTTGTGCTGCTGCTGGGAGGAGGTTTTGCATTGGCTGATGCAAGTGCAGTATGTCCTGACGTCTTGTTTTTCTCTGACTCAAAGGCAGACTTCTCTGGTTCATTATCTAGTCCTGTATTACTGGGCATGAACCCAAAACCACATCCAGTAGAGATGTTCAGATCTGGAGGCAGATCCAAAGTAGCAAAAACTGGGAGGACAGGTGAATATTTGTGGCTATTTTTCAGGAGTTTGTGTGCTCTGACCATGTTCTTCAATTTATCTGACCTCTTGGAGGCTGACACACTTTGCCGAATGGTGTTTATATAATTCAGGAGTCATTTGGCATCATGTGGCAGGAATGTTACACATAATGGGAGTTCCTGTTCACGAGCAAGGGGTTCTGAGCCTGACTGAAAAACACTTCTTTCTTGTCAGAAATCTGGGCTCTCAGTTTGGCTGGGTCGTCAAATGACTCCATTAGGATACATCCCACCATGGGCCACTGCAACGGTACTTTCGCTTACAGTAGCTGTCTTCACAGAATGCACCAGCAATGTCGCCACAGCCACCCTCTTCCTACCTATCTTTGCATCCATGGTAAGATTATTTCCAACCTGTTATCCTACCAACTGGGAGATCAGAGTTAAACTGGCAATCTCTAGTGGCAAAACAGTATCATATTTATTGTCTTAAATGTTGCTCCAATGTTAATCTGAAAGCCAGTAATGAAACAGTTCATCTGACAGTATACCATAATGGATAGTGATTTTAGCTGGTGTTCACTGCTATGTTTATAGCATCATATGTAGATAAAAAGTGGGAATGCAAACTTTCTCCAATCTGCCCTACCTATCCACCTGGAATCTGAGAACCAACAACCTGGAAGAAGCAGCTAATTCAGGATGCCTGTCTGATGGCACCCTCTCTGAAAAGGAAGCCAGTTCAAGCCTTCTGTAAGGTGTGTCCCTTAGACCTGGAGAAAGTGAAGTGTCATTTTGTATTTAAAACTTCTAGTCATTTTGTATTTAAACCATCAACTCAGAACTGGAAAAACAACCAAAAACATTAAATGAAACCAACATTCAGCATTTCCTATTCATCCCTTTGCGTGGTTCCTTCATCCTCATGGTTTTCTGCTAGACAACAGAAAGTGGTAGGCCCAATTATTAGAAATGTGTCATTTTCCATAGGAAGCTAGAGGAATTTTAAAACTTACAGACAAAAACCTGGTAACTTTTGCTGCCTTTTCTGAGCAGAATTGAAACTCTAACATAAAGGAAAAAATAGGTTATTTTTTTAATTTGTAAAATACAACCGCTTTATTCATAGACCATTTCATCAAAGTAAATCGATCCCAATCAAGGTGCTGAGCAATTAGTGACTTAAGTTGGCACTTAAGTTCTGAGTCCCACAGAGTTTATATAACATCTGAAAGTGGTACTCCACACGCCTGGTAATTATAATCCCACCCCTGTGTTACCCTGGCACAAGTGTGGTCTGAGGTCAAAGAAAAGACTGTTAGAGAAATTTGACCAGAACTCCAAATTATACCATAGAGCAAAACAAACAACAAGAAAGAATGAAGCTTTGTTTTTAAGTATTGTGGGACAGGAAACAAGAGCAAAGTTATCTTTAAGCATGTGTGGATTTCAGAATAAAATGCTTGCAAATTGGTGATATAATAGCAGGAAATGAAACGAGCACATGTGCCTCAATGGGCTGGAATATGTTCTTTATGTTTTTCTTTTGGAACACTTTCAGTGTGATATTCTCTCCATTTCATTGCAGGCTGCATCTGTCAAAATCAATCCTTTGTATCTTATGCTGCCTGGTACTCTCAGTACTTCCCTTGCCTTCATGCTACCTGTTGCAACACCACCAAATGCAATAGTGTTTTCCTATGGCCACATCCATGTTTTGGATATGGTAAGATGATAATTGCCTGTTCTCTTATCTGAAGCTCCCTACTGCCTTTGTCCTGAAATATGGTGAGAGTTTAATTTTCTTAGCCAAGTATTTACAAAGTACCAGGAAGATCTTGTGGGCTGTAACTATCACTGTATATCTCTCTCTTATGCAGTCTTAATATTGCAGTAAGGATTTGCATCTCTGAAGTAACAGTACCTTTCTCACAGGCTTTGGCAGATGTACAGCCCAGACCCATTGCAATTAAAAACTGACAAGTCATAAGTCTCATAAACACTGAAGGGTTAAAATGCAGCCAGTGCTTTCCAGTCTTGTGGGGCTTTGGCAAGTGTAGCTGAAGCCTGGTTTCCACTGGAGCTGAAAGCAGAAGGTAACAATCAGCTGCCCTAGGCTCTGGTCCTCTGATTGCCTGCCAGACCACACAGTGCAGGTTCTGTGCCCGGTACCCAAGCATTACCAGGTTTTGAAGTAGAGACTTGAAGGAGGCAGAACTGTTCTTTAACTAATAAGAGTAATTTGTACATGCCTTAAAGCTCCTAGATCAGTTATAAAGCAAAGCGTTCAAAGACTTTGCACAGTGTGTTCCACCTAAGCAAGAACACGGGACAGTGGGTACAAGGGCTATTTCTGTGATTTATTTGACCATGTGTCTTTCTTCTGTATGTATAAATGGGCTTTGCTGCAATTTGATGTGCTCATGTTTGGTTATTGTTGGTTTGGACTTGTGTCCTCACAGGTTAAAGCTGGAATAGTGATGAACATTATTGGAGTCTTCTGTGTCTCAGTGGCCATCAACACATGGGGAAGACCTATGTTTGGGCTGGACACATTCCCAGCATGGGCAAACACCACAGCTATCCCATGAACAGTGAAGAATTCATGTGTTCAAGAAGGAAAGGACCCTTAATACTCCTCTCTATTGCCCAAAGGCCTATACAGAGTCTCATCACCACTTCAGATCCAGTGTCAGGTGTTTGTTTCCTTCTGGGAGGCACACATCAGTTCAGGATGAACCAGCTGTTCTATCAAATGGTTTGAACTATCCTATCACCAGTATGGACTTGTAAATCATTAGTGTTGACCACTGCACTCAAGCAGGTGCTGAAAATTCATTACCTGTTACTTGCATCCGCAAGTCAGCAGCTATACAAAGATATTCTTGTTTCTTGTCTAGTGAAAGAAGGGGTATGCTTGTTATATATGTTACATTATGTTATGTTGTTATGCTATGCTATATTATGTTATGCTATGTTATGTTTCTGCCTCCTGAGGAACATTTAAGGAAAGGAAATACGAAGGGTAAGTGGTTTATTTGTTGTTTTTTTTTTCTGCTGTGGCTTGATGCCCCATAGCAGCAAGAGTCAAAAGCTCAGAGTAAGACCCTAATAAATACAGGAAGGTATGAATGCCTATAATTACCAGTGTTATGCAGATGAGAACTCCACTGTTCATACACTTTGTAAAGCATTTATAATGCCTGTGTAGTAGGGTCACTCTGTAAAGACTGTCTACTATTAAAACCTCTATCAGTGAGAGTACTGGAGCTATTGCAGTAAAGTTCCATTAGAAAAAGCCTGTAATGATAGTCGCTGGAAATGTTTTAACTAAGAGATTAACCAAAGATGTACATGATGTCTGGACAGCTGTGCTAATACTACTGCAATTCTTGCACTTAGAAGGTGGTGGCAAGCAATTTTAGGAATAAGGACTGTTTTGACTCTTGTTCCAGAAGTGGGAATACTGGATTCCAGGAATAGAGCTGTTCAAAGTGTAGGCAGGACCCATGTTCTTCTCCTTCCCTGTCACTTCTTAATATTCCTGATACAGGAGATGCCTGTTCTCTGACTGAAAAAAACTATATGTGAATAACATCCTCTCTTTACTAAACTGTCCTGCACAGGAGCTATTAAAGATTCAGTCAGACTGTTTGGTGGCACTTGAGATAACTGTAGATCAAAGAAAACAGGTGAAATTGTTGCTGAACAGCTAAGATACCATGCAAGAAAGTGGCAAAGCAGCTGCTGTGAGTATGCTGTGATTTAAGACAAAGCTTGGCAGCAATTTTTTCATCTTTGTCCTGGGTTCAGCAGTAGCAGTCATCTCTTTTCAGTCATCTCAGTAGCAGTCTCTCTCTTTTCCAAAGTACTAAAATGAGTCTTTCTGTGTGAGGAACAAAGGTGATGGCAAAAGAAAAGGGTATCCCTGAATGCTGTTCCTAGCCATGTGGTCTTATTCTGTACTGTTTAATGCTCATACTGCATCAACATAGCATCTCCCAGTAAGACCATGGTAATTTTTCACCTGCTTAGAGACTTAAAAGAGCAGCACTGAATGGATTCAGCTGAATGACGAATCTGCTGCATGGATTGAAAAAGGTGACTCTGAACCCCAGCTGGGTATTTATTCAACTTGTACCCCTTTTCCCTTTCTTACTTGAAATTACCTTCTGGTGAAAAAGGATGAAACTGATTGAATAAAATTCTGTCTGTTGGGACTTATTGAGCTGGATTTTCTTTCCAACACCACCAATCTTCATGTCTGAAACAGCACTGAAACCACTGGAGATACTGTTTAGCTAGCATATGCATATCTTTCTGTTTGGAAAGCTCCTGGTGAAGAAAAAGTGTATGAGATGATCACCGCAGGATGCTCAGCTTGCAGTAAAATGTTCAGCTTTTCCCTCTTGAATTTCTGACGCAAATCTTACAGTTGGGGTGAGGACTGACCCAAAGCCCAGTTAAGGAAATGCAAAGTATTATATTGCTCTTAATATGCTCATGGGGATCAGATTCTGAGACTATTTTTCTCCTTTTCTTTTTGCAGTGGTTAAACTGAAGGAATGCAAGATCAGGCACCTCAGCAATTATAATTACAGTGAGGGTTCTAGTTTCACATTTTTCTCAGTTGTGTTCTATGCACAACTGTACATTAAAAAAAAATCCTTGCATTTTTTTGGTTGTGTTGCTTTGGGGGTGGTTATTGGGTGCTCTAGGAAAAGGAATAGATTGAAAACCCAAAAGGCGGTTTTCACTGAGCTAGGAGAACAGCTAACAAAACAGATAGTATCAATTGTAAGATATGAGCAAGGATCCAAGAGAGCTTGAAGAAACTGCCACAGAGAAACTGTGGTTTTATGGAAGTTAATCTCCAAGTATTTTAATTAAAATTTTAACTGCGATACAGAAAATAAAAAAGTAATGCAAGTACCATGACAAGATGTGCGTCCTACCTTTGTGTGGCTCTTTGTAAGCTCCAGGTTAATTACTGCTACTCAAGTTACTGGCTAGATTTAATTCAAACGTACTCTACTGTAGGCCTGGCTTTCAAAGGTTATGGGCCTTGCCTCCCATCTAAATATACTCCAGGGTATATTTAGATTTGCTCCCTAAGGAATTCAGCACTTTTGTTTGCCTAAAGACTGTATAATCTTGACTATAAGCACTGACAGGTTGGCTAGCATGCAGCTCAAGAGAGGGTTTGTATTCTTGCCAAATATTGATGTAGCCATCCATGAAACTAACTATTTGTGCACCCCCTTTGCAATGACCAAGAATTAAAGTTATTTTCATCATGGATGGGTGAGGTTGTGGGTGAGTGCTTGCCAGCAGGAAGGAATCTCACTAATCATATTTTCATTATTGGAGACCATGCATTTCCAGCTCTCTATCTATAACAGTAACTGCAATGCTATTTCCAGGATAGTTACAATGTTCCTGTGCAAGAATAGGAGAATGTGATTTTTTAATTTTTTTCCCTGATTCTTTTAAGACAGGCAGTTGAGATGGCAAATAAATTGTGTGGGGTTTCTATTTTGCCCAATGATTTAAGTAACATTACTTATTTATTATCAGAACTTTAATTCGTGGCATTTCATAGCTGTGATCCTTAGCTGACAAGAACTGGCAGGTTTATACAAACTTCAGCTGCTCATCCCGCTTATACGTGGGGAAAGTGTCTTGAGTCTGAATCAGTATTGTACATCAGTACGTATTGTCATGCTCTGTTACCACTAGCTTTAAAGTAGCAGCTACAAGCCAAACATATCATGGTTTAAGTCCAGCCAGTAACTCAGAACCATGCAGCTGCTCGCTCACTCCCCACCTTCTTTCTCCTCCTGCTCCCCAAGGGATGGGGAGGAGAATGGAAAGAACATAACTCCGACGGGTTGAGATAAGAACAGTCCAGTAACTATAACACAAATCACTACTGCTACCACCAATAATAATAATGATAAGGGGATTAAGAAGGGGAGAGAATACAACTGCTCACCACCTGCACACTCATACCCAGGCCGACCCAAACAGCGATCTGGGCCTTCTGAGTGGTTCCCCCCAGTTTTTCTACCCTGGGCATGACGTGCTGCGGTATGAAATACCTCTTTGGGTAGTTTGGTCAGGTGTCCTGCCTCTGCTTCCTCCCAGCTTCCCATGCGCCTCTTCACTGGCAGAGCATGAGACTGAAAAGTCCTTGGTCAGAGTAAACATTACTGAGGAGCAACTAAAACCATCGGTGTTATCAGTGTTGTTCTCAGACTGAAGTTGAAAACACAGCACAGCACCAGCTACTAAGAAGGAAAAAAATGACTGCTACTGCTGAACCCAGGACAGTCTGGCACTCCACATGATCAGTATTACTTGGTTTTGAGAGCTCTGATCTGCCAGGGCCCCAGGTAAGTCTAAAGCTCCTTTGGATCTGAGCTTGTGACTCAAGTTGCTGCAGTTTGGCCCATTCAGCATTTTAGGGATGAGCAAGTTGAATGCTCTTGCTTGTCTGACACCAGCTTGCTTTCTCTAGACCACAATGCCAGCCCCATCTTTTGAACCTTCTGGAAAAGTCTGAGGCTTTCACCCTATTCCCTACAGAAGAACTCGGTGTCTGAGCTGTCAAAGCAGCTCTGTGCAACAGCCCACTACTCGGTTCTGTATTTCTGTTGTTCATGTGCAGGATTAACATTTGTGCCAGTTACAAGCTGCTCGTCTGGTGCAGGCAAATCCAAACAAACCAAACCTAAATATCCAAAATTTACATTCACCCGTAGTACCTCTGTGTGTGACTCACCTGGCTCTTGAGCTTTTAGGCTGTATTGGACAAAATGATCACATTCCCAAGCTTCTGTTCTCAGCTGTAGTGCCAGGAAATTTCCCTGTTTTTTTCTAAATAAGAACCCTCTCCCAATTCCGTAAGGAATATGTTGCCATGCCAGTTGGCAGAGATGCTGATCAGTTCTTGTGAGTCTTAAGAAAAATGCCCTCACCTGAGGTCTATGTGAGCCTACCTATTGGTTGCAGCACCAAATTACTTATCTCTTACTTGCTGAACACTATGTCAAAGCTATGCATTTGCTATTGTCAAAGCATATTATAAAGTGGATACGTTTTTCATTAATTCTAAATTGATGCCAATGATTTCCTTAGTTTTATACATCATTCTTCCTGGTGTTTTCCCTGCATCCTTCCACTCAGTGCCACAGTGGAAGATCCTAAAAATGAAATGGCATAGAAAGTACATCAAACTACATCATTATTGGAAAATTTAATAACTGCAATGGTAATCCAAAATATAATGGAAAATAACTGAAATTATTCATATATTTGAATGTTATCTAGTTTACAATAATTAGTTTATTGTTCTGCAAGTTTGTCTATGCATCTTTGACTTGAGAAGTTTTACATTCCTTCACTGCTGGGAAATGCATTTGTTTCCGGCCTGTTTGGCATCCAACAAGATAGAGTTCCTTCAGATGAGGCCCATATATCCTGGCTCACTGCAGAATTCTTTGATTAGAGTACCTTAAAAGGGGCTTTAAATGGCAAGCGATACCTTTGTGAGGATGTTCCTTGTGGACTGCTGTTCTCAAATTCTGTGTATATTGCTCCTAGCAAATGTCTGGCTTCAAATTCATCTGCCTTCTAGATGCCCTAAGAATGGAAGACTGATACATTTTTAAAGAACTTATTAAAGAAAACCATAAATTGGTTTCTGACACTTGACATTTAATCCTGAATTTATCTTTGCTTTCTAATGCTTGTTTAAAGCTAGAGGAGTACCTTAGTCACACACATACATGTTCCAGTGCCTGCAGTAAGCTACAATCTGTTAAGTCTTTTTACACCATTTCACCAAATTTACAGCTCTGCTGAATGGTGTTTAACAGTCTTCAGATGGAGATTGCTCTACCATGACTGTCATAGGCTGGCTTTGAAATGCACATTACCTGCCAGTTTCTTGACCTCAAAAAATAGAACTCTGTGAATGCTTAAGCCTTTCATTAAATATGTTCTGACAATTGTTTCAGTCACTGATAACTATGATCTTGTTTCTATTGAATTACAATTACAACATTGGAGTAAAAAAATTGCAGACTTTGTACTGGCTTGTTATAAATATAACATAATGCGTACTCTGTTCTCTGTTATTTAACCATATTTGAAGCAGGATACTCTCCAGTCTGCAGAATTTTGTCTTCCATTCTATGGGTAAAATCCTTTAAGATGTCATTATCCATGTCAATACTAGTTTGCACTCTATTGTAAAGCAGATGGGTGAATGCATGAATAAAAGGAGTTCCAAGGATTAAGTATAAAATACTTATTAGGTATAAAAAACTTGATTGGTTTTCAATCGTGAAGCCTTGTTGGATCTTCTTTTCTTTCTACTGCAAACGCAGTAGAAAGAAAACTTTCTACTGTGGTGCTGTAGATAAACCCTCTGTACCATCTCACTTCCTCAGTATCCACTTTCAAGATCCAACAACATATCAGACAAGACTTTATTTTCTCCTGTATCTAATAGAGTCTTAGTGCCTTCATATCCCGGAAGTGGTGTGAAAGTTTGACTCAACTGGTATTTAAAAGCAGAAAATAATACCAACTTTTCCTAGAGAATGTTCTCAGTTATTATACTACAATTCTGACTTTCACTTTTGTTCCTAGATTTGATGGCCAAGAATTGAGATGTTTGACTTAACTCTGGCAAACATACACGGTAATTTATTCCTGTGACCAATCCTTTTTTAGGATTCTCTCTTCTGAAGTCAGTCTTGGGAGAGAAGTCATATTTCAGAATAGCAATGCAGACACATGGGATCTGTTTGATCTCTGCTTTTAGCCCAAAGACTGTGTTTACTGGGGAGTGACTTGGTATGTTTTGATATAGTAATGGTAGTATTCCACAACCACTAAAACCTTGTCTTAAAAAAGCAACCATATTTTATTAAGAAAAACTATGCATAAATCCTTTTTAGATGGTTTTTGTAACCCAATTCCCAGAGGGAAGGGAAAAAAAAATCATACTGCATAGGAAAAGACAGTGTTCTAGAAAATTGCCAACTCAGATGCTGAAAATGGTTCTGCAAGTGAAAATAGCAAATAATTAAACAAGAAGTCATGTTTCCAGTAAGCCTGTATCCAGCGTGCTGCTGCACGAGAGCCCATCGCAGTGAAGCTCAGCCAGCTTGGCCTGCCGGGGCCTTTGCCTCAGCTGTGCTCTGACAATTCAGTGTGACACCGGGCACAGCAGCGACTTCTGGAACCAATGCAGCGCCTCAGGAGCAGGGCTCCTCTCCAGGGCGCTGGTGCTGCTGAGCAGCTCTGCCCCACGCTCGCAGAGTGTTTGTGCCTTGCAAACGGGTCTCAATCTGGCAAAGCTCTTTCTTGTTTCAAGGAATGATGAATTAAGTGAGAGCCTGAAGGGGATCTCCTTCTCTCACTGTGAAGTCACCGTGAAAATCAAGGGAAAGTCCAGGCTCAAACCTCCGCTCGATATGCAGAGAGACAAAAAAAAATCAAAGAGAGTCTAGTGTTTCAGGGCTGAATCCCTCCTTTTCCCTTTCTTTCTGCTCTGGAAGGGCTCAACAATGGTTTGCCCAGTACAAAGTTAAAATGAACATCTGGCAAACACAAACACAAATCGTCTGCTTTCCTTCCCGGCTCCAGAATTTATCTATCCTGGAAAAACAAACAAAACCCCCATTACTCCAAAGCTCCCTTTCAATGGAGTTGGAACTGTATGGTAAAAGCTCCCTTATATGACAGAAAAGAATCACTTCTCCAACGTTTTCTTCCAAAGGTTGTTTATTCATATGTTACATTATTAAATCTGTGACGTTTGAACATGAACAGCTCAGATCTGGAACATGAGGGCTTCCCGAGAAACCTGGAGGATTAATGACTCTCTAATGGCAGCAATGATAACACGAATGCAAGTATCCATGGCAAAAATGGGCACTTCAAGCCATGTCACTGCCTCCCAGAACAGCAACACCAGTGCCGGGTAAGTACAATGAGGAATTCTGGCCTTGAACACAGGCTGTGTGTTTAAGCAGACGGCTCTATAGGTAACAGCTGCCCAGAGACAAACACTCCAGCAGCTCCACAGAGAAGGGGCTCCGACGTGAGCTCAGCTTCAGTTTCAGACATTATAAAGCCTCCACAGAAAGAAGGTGCACAAAACCAGATTTTGTTAAATCCTGGTGTTCATGGATTTACTTGGATTATCTTCATTTCTGTTGGCACATCCTAGCTCTAGCAGCGATTTTTAGAAAGACTTATACTGAATTCTCACTTGAAATATTTTGTACAGTTAGAAAAGCAATAACCTCTTAACATAGGACATAAAGAGATCAAAATAATGGAATAGTAAATAACAATTTCTGGCTTGATTTTTAAGTGCAGGGCACTTTTTTCTGTAACGGAAGCACCAGACTGCTTACGTTTCAGTAGTCCTTAAGGCATTTCCTCCACCCGACTGCAATGCCTCAGTCCAAACCGATTCCCCACTTGGAAAGGACTTGTGTGCCCATCCTATGGCAAGTCCGTCGCTTCGGGAGATCAGTTACGTCTAACCTGCAGTCCCCTCCAGAATCCTGCTGCTGCTGCTCTGGGGCAGCGCAGAACACAGGAAACGTGCTCCTGAAACACCCCTTGCTCATCCTCCCGGAGGATCGGCCACGCCGCTGGGCAGGGACACCCGGCGAACACTGACCCAAGGCTCACCTTTCCAGCCACATTACTGTGAGGACGAATAGTCTCTGGTTAGGAAACAAGCCTATCAAGTGCAGCCATAGGATGTTATGCCTGCACTGGACCCCGTTCAAACTAGCATTGCATATGTGACCTTTTTTCTCCAGACAGTGATAGCTCCAGGTGTTTGGATGCCGCTACATAAAGGTGCTCGGTGAAGCGGTCAGAGATCCCTCTGGTTTTCTTGCAAGGTTTTCAGAGCGCAGAGCTCGCTGTAAAACTGACCTCTGCTCGTTAAAAACTCGGTGTTCGCACTTCGATGGGGACTCCTCCACCACCGCCGCCGCCGGGCTACCACCGCCTCCTTCCCGGCGTACCTCAGCGCTGCTCTCACGCGGCTTCCGCCCGCCGCCATCTTCTTCCTGGCGGGTGGCTCAGGCCGGCGGGTGCCATGGACGCAGGTGAGGAGCGCTCGGGGAGCTCGGTCCGGCGGGGCCGCACTGGAGCCGGGGCTGGCAGGCGCGGGGCGGGGTCTGAGCCCGAGCCCGAGCCCGAGCCCGAGCCCGAGCCCGAGCCCGAGCCCGAGCCCGAGCCCGCTTCACCGGAGAAGGGGGCTTGGGGCGCGCCCCGTCCCGTCCTGCTCTGTTTCGGCCGGGCGCGGCCCCTCTGGCTCCGCTGCCGCCGTCCGTGACCGGAGAGGGCGCAGTCGTGGCCGTGAGCCTGAATCCTTCCCGGAGCTCGGGCACCGCTTCCGCGGGTACCTCGACCCCGTTGTTGATAGGTGCTCATGTCAGGATTCAGCTGCGGATCTGAGAGCAAGAGGCCTCCAGGCTTCCTGCTGTTACCTTTTGCTTCACTCTAAGCCAAGTGTCCGTGGGCATTCCTTCGTTCTGTGCACGCACTTGGCTGTAAAAACAAACCAGCCTCAGCATCTCCTAATGCAGGCCAAACGCCGATTGATGTAATGAAGGCTTTGCTAAATTAATCCGTATTATTATGGAGAGTTACTGCTGCTTCTCGTGTTTAAACACGTTTTCTAGTTTTGTGTGGCTCAAACCGAGAAAGTTTATTTCAAATCTGTGGTGTGGGTGAAATTCTTACTGCTTTTTATCAGATGACACGGGGAATCGACTTCGGTTCCAGCTGGAGTTAGAGTTTGTTCAGTGTCTGGCGAATCCAAATTACCTCAACTGTGAGTACTGGACAGTAACTATTGGAATGAGTATAGTAACCTGAGGAATGAGTATAGTTTTAATGTTGTTTATTATTACTGGGAATGTTAAACAGGAGGGAGAGGGCTAAACAAAGAAAAAGGAGTGGGTCTTTCACAGCGTAAAGGTGGTCTGTCAGTAATTTAATTTGTATTTCTAACAGGTGAGTTTTAAAAAATGTAAAATGTTTCATTACTCGAAATAAAAAATAATGCATCTACCTGGGGGATCAAAAAAAAAAAAGTTGAGGTGTGTAGTTAAAAAGTAATGTCAAGTTAACAGTGTTCCTGATCTGAAAACACAATTTCAGACACAATACATAATGCCCTTCCAGTTTTTATGCCAAGTCAAAATTTTCTGTTTCAAAAAGCTGGTTTCTTCCTTGGTGTTTTATAAAAGATACATACTGTCAGGGTTGACATACAAATATATTTTTCCTGTTTCTTTCCTAATTTTTAATTATCAAAATTTGCTTGTAATCATGAAGTTCTGACCATTATGCTTCTCCGTAGTTTTGTGAATACTTATTCTTCAAGGCTGGCAGATTTTTTTTTAATGCATCTGTAACCAACAGTTCTTTGTCATTTTATTTCAGTTCTTGCACAAAGAGGCTATTTCAAAGACAAAGCTTTTGTAAATTATCTTAAATATTTACTTTATTGGAAAGAACCTGAATATGCAAAATACCTGAAGTAAGTGTTAAAGTCACTTTGGTTTCTGCATTTTAATGATTTTGTTTACTTTCTGTTATGTACTGTACAGCAGCATGTCAGTAATTGATTTCCACCTGTAACCTTACCTTTGTCTTCCCCGCTGTGTTTATATGCATCATAAATTTTCCTGTTTTCCAACAGTGCAGATGTAGCAATAGAAACGAATAGAAAACTTGTCTTTCAGGGGTTGTGCATGGAATCTTCCCTTTGCAGCCTTCATCTGCACTTTGGCATTTGTTGAACATAAAACTATTGACCATTATGGTAAAGAACTACTTCAGTTAGGCCCAGTAAATACATGTTGAGAGTAATTCTGCATTGTTGATGCTTACATGAAACAAATGATGTCTTTGCATTTTTGTGAGTATGCAAACTCCCTCTTGGTCGTGTTCTTTGAGTTCTGGAAATGGATATTGTAGTTGTTATGTATTTGCTTTAGTGAAATCTAGCCATTAGAAAAGCTACTCTGAGCAAGCATGTATATACATTTATAAGCTGTTAGTGGACTTCTTGTTTCCTAGCCTAATACTGAAACTACTGAGTTACAATGTGTAGCAGTGGAATATGTACAGTCTTTGGTGTTCATCACATACATAATAGAACTGAAATAAAGAACTGCAGAATTTCTGGAGACTCCAGTTTTAATGCATCTCGCAAAAAACTATATTAAAGGGCCTCTGTTTTTAATGCAGGTATCCTCAGTGTTTGCATATGTTAGAGCTGCTCCAGTATGAACATTTCCGCAAAGAACTGGTGAATGCTCAGTGTGCCAAGTTCATTGATGAGCAGCAGATTCTTCACTGGCAGCACTATTCCAGGAAAAGAATGCGCCTCCAGCAAGCACTTGCAGAGCAGCAGCAACAGAACAACACCTCTGTAAAATGAGACCATGTGGGAGCATGTTGATGAGGTGACTTTGTCAACTTGAGTGCTTAGGAGAGGAAGGAGCCCTTGTGTGGTTTGGCTCTCGGGGGTGTACATTTCATTGTTTTATTTATTGACTTTTTAAAAATTTCATCTTGTTTAAAAATCCAGGACTGATAAAAAACCTCTGCAGTTTATTTTGGAGCATGGACAATTTTGTAAGAGCATTACTGCAATTATTGATTCCTTTTGATTTTGAAAAAGAAATCTGACACTACTGACATTTAAATAACTAAAAGTGTAGCTCAGAAGTCTGTTCTTAGGCATTTTCCCTAGAGAATAATGATGTATTTTAAGTGTGACTAAGAACTCCGCCATGTACTACTTTCTGTAACTGCAGGATGAGCAAAGTTCAAGGAATGGTGTTCTACAAAATCAAAATTGTGGATTTTTGCCTTGAAACCAACCTGAGCTATTACTTGTTATTTTGGTTTACCTGGTAATCCTTGTTGCTGGGGGTCATATAGAAAACAAAGTGTGACAAGAGGACTGCAGGAGTGGAACAGAGATAAGTAATAATAAACTTTGCAGATACTCAGAAGGAAATAGGCTGTAGCTGTGTCTATTCCATTACAGTCAGCTTACTTTAATCTTGGCTTTCTGCCAGTGAAGTAGTGGCTGCTCCTGGTTTCTCTACAGGATGTGTAGTAAAAACAATTTGTGTTATAAAAAAGGTGTACATGCTCTAGCAGGATTCGAGAAGCATTTGTCATTTATTCCTGTGTAGTTTGTATTGTAAGAACACAGATATTAGCAGTTTCCAGGGGTTTATATTTCATAAATGACACCAAGACTTGTTGGCCTTCAGCTTATCATACTTAAGACTGAACAAATAAACCAGTAAACATTTTGACATTCAGTAGCTTCAGCAGCTATGTGAATTCAGATTTACGAAGAATAAGGATTTTTTTTGTTTTTCCAACCCCCTACCCTTTACTGTTAAAGGTATAATAGCAGTTAAGCCTTTCTCTTCAATAACTGTAGGCTGCACTCTCCATTTTTAACATGAGCACAGCTCCTTTGAAAGGAGACTGTTCTCAAACTCAAGTTTATTTTAACATGAAAAGAAAGATACAGGGTTTTTTTTTTTTTGCAAGAGTTCAGTGGAAGGTTGGGACCTAGAATTTAATTATATTTATCTTGACTAGTCAGAAGTAATTAACCATAAAAGTTTTAAGAAAGGTTAAGGATTCCTTGAAAGGACGCCACAACTTGAGATGAATGTCTTCAGAAATGATTGACTACTGGAGGACTTAGTCTTCAGTAAACAACATACGCACAAGCTCTGCTTTAAAACATTTTTCTTCAACCAGCTTCTGAGGCTGAAATAAAAGTTAAGATGCTTTAGGGGGAATTCAAAACCCCGTTCTAGACTACACCTATTTGTACTTACTAACATTAGCCATACTCCAGCGATTGTTTTTCTGGGGAGGGTGAGGTGGAACAAGCAAGGTAGGAATAACTGGAAAATGCCTGAGGGTTTTGCGGCCTTGGAAGAGGCATTTCTGAGAAAGTAATTGTTAATTTAAATAGATGGACAAGTTAAAACTTGAGCTGCACTCCATTTGAATCAAGAGTATACTGCAGATAGCTTCACTCCTGTAATTCAGCATTTGGATTGTTTTAAATTTGAGGAGCTGCAAGTCAGGAAACTAACAGTATATTGCTAACAATTTTCTCTACCTCTCAACCACTGCATGTTAAATTTACCTATTGCATTTTTGTTTATTATAGAAAATGTTATGCTGAAAGCACAGTGGCTTTCTCTTGAGGAACTATGTGAGGCAGAAAATGTGCACGGGGGGGAGCAGAATTGTTCCTAGTTGTCTGCTCTTTTTAAAGAAGAGAGGTATCAGACAACATACGTGACTAATTCATTTACAGTCGTAAGTTCCTGCCAGATTCCCATTTGAATGCCTGTAGATCCAGAACATACAGTATATCACTTACTGTTCCATATTTAAGTAGTGTAGGCACTCCTGTTAATTTCAGATTCTTCCTGAATTCATTGTTGGGGTCTTTCCAGCTGTTCAGGAAGAAAGGGTTAACAGCTTGTAGAGGTGCAGTTAAAATTCCTTCAAAAGGATGACTCATAACTACCTCACCCCCCTTCTCAGAGCAAACATGCAGATACATGACATTAGGGATGTGAACTCAAAACCAGTGCTTCATTCCTTGTGGAAGAGCACAGTTCAGTGACTTGTTCCAACAGGTTAGTTAACCTCTAGCCCAGAAACAGCAAAATTGTACTGGTTGTTGGTTTTAAAAGTTACTTACTAAGCTCTGTCTCCTACTAGGCAGTAGATGAATACAGACTCGTCAGGCATGTTATGAAGTTCTTTCCTCACAACTGGTTCAGCTGGAAAATAAAATTTTGAGAACTCAATATATTGATACTTTCATCATGCTACAGAATGGCACAGATCTGCCCTGACCAGCAAGCATGCTAACAAACACACAAAGATCTGCGTTTTGTTTCCTCTGGTTATCCGTGAGCTGTGCAGAACTCAGTTCAACCTTGAAGGGACTTGTCTTTACAGCATGTTACATCACTTACCATTCAGTGCAACGCGGCCAGCAAGGGCAGCGCAGGCTGCACCCATTACCTTTAGCTAGCCCCACACCTCGGTGGGACTCCCGGCCGCGGCAACTGCAGCGAGGGCTTCAAACCGGAACTCGGCCCAGGCCGCTCCGATCCCCGGTAACGGAGGCCGGGTGGCGTGAGGCCGTTTCGCGCCGGGCGCTGCGCGGGGCTAGGGCACAGACGGCACGGTCCCCGCGGCGAAGAGCGCGAGGCCGCCACAGCGGTGGCTTGGCTGCTGTCGGGGCCTCACGAGGGCGAAGGGCGCTTCCCCAGAACCGGGAGGGTGACGTCGCGCAGGCCTCACCCGTCACGCAGTCCGGGCACCAGCTCTTGCCCTCGGCATCCTTGTCGCCGCAGAAGAGTGCGAAGATGGGCCGGCCGTGGTAGCGCTGCGCCGTCTGCACGAACTCGGGGTACCCGCGGACCTGCTTCTCCTCCCAGCCCATGGTGCCCGAGGGACGCGGCGGGGCGGGGCGCGGGCTCCGCCTCGCCCCGGGCGGTGGTGGGGCGGGGCCCGGGCTCCGCCTCGCCCCTCGCCGGCCGCCGTACTTCCGCGCCCTTCCCGGCGTTCCCTGTGGCGGCGGTCGGCAGGAGCGGGTTTGAACAGCGTCGCGGTAGGTGTCACCGCGGGCCTAGGCCGCTCCACCGTCCGTCCGTCCGCCCGCCCGCCCGCCCGCTCGCTTTCCCGCAGCGCGGGGCGGGGCGGTCCCCGGTGCCAGTCTCGGCCGTCCGGATGCCGTGGGGGGAGGCGGAAAGTGGGGCGGGCCGGGTGTGGGCTGTGCGGCTGGAGCCCCCTCTCGAGGGGCGCGTCGTGCGAGGCCCGAGGACAGCTGCGGCGAGGTGAGGAGCAGAGGCAAAGCCTCAGTCGCTTTAAAGAGTTTTAACAGCGTTACGTGTCGGGTCCTGCTCGTTTTCAATTGCCAGAGCGGATGAAGGAGACGCGCACCTGGCTGCCGCCGCGCATCGCCCTTAGCTTAAACCTCTGCAAAACTTTAGGCACGAGCATGCCCTTGTTCTGCTTTCCTTTGACATTGATGGTTTTTGTACAGACCGTGTACCTGGAGCAGTGCCTTAAGCTGTCGTGCTGATCTGTTTTCTTAACTGTGCAGTATGCTATTTCCCTTTTAGGTGCATAATAGCTATAAAGTACTGCAGCAATCTTGTGGTTCACGATACGAGCCTCATTGTCTGTAGTGGTGCTCCTCAGCTCTCTGTGTTGGTATGTAAAAGAACGATATAAATTGTAAAATTTACTTTAAATGACAAGATTTGGTACCATCCATGTGAGTGCACGCTGTGCTTTTCATGCCTTGGGGGTGCATGACCTGGGATTGCTTTTGAAAGGCAGAAATAATGTTTGATTCTTCTTATGTTTGTAGTTGTCATTGTAAGGAAAAGACAGGTAATTGGAATTTCAGCATCAAGCCTGTGTGATGGGACCAAGCAAGGCAACTGTGTCTGATGCTACATTTGCATTTGCTACCCAGCTCTACAGGAATGAAGCAAAGGCTTTACAAACACAGGTATTATTTGACTTCTGCAGCGATGCTGAATTGGCTTTCATTTGCAATTGTTACAAAACGATGACTATGACTGAGATTGACACTCACTAGCAGGCTGTCTTCATACTTGCTTTCATGATGCTCTCATACATAATCTTCACACTACCTTTTTGTGAGAGTATAGACCAGTAACCACGTCTGTAAATATAATTTATAAGATGATCTAAATGCTTAATTCAAAATAATTTTGAATAATGGTATTTGTCCGAGTGGATGGAATACCTTGCGTGCATTGAAGAAGTACTGTCACAGCAGAATGCATTCTAGTATGAAAGAACATTTGTTTTCCTTACTTTTTGACACTATAGGCACATCCCCTGTGGAAAGTGTCCTGTGTAACATTAGATTTGTTTGTTGTGTTTTTTTTTTTTTTTACACTTTGGAACAGCTCCAGTTCAACAGAAATGTTCCTGCAGCTCCAGAGAACCTGGCTCTCCGATTCTCTAACCCCCGTCCAATTATAATAGAAAAACTGAAGGCATCCAATAATCAGAGAAATCTCAGTGGAAGTGAGGACCCCAGCATGAGAAGCTCTGGCATATTTTCAGTGGTATCTGAAGAGAGACTAAAATTGGCTATTCAGCTAGCAAAAAGGGACATAAAACGAAGACAACTTGAAGAGCAAGTGAAACAGCAAGTATTTGGAGATGCTGCCAGTAAACCTCTGTTGGCCCAACAGCAGAAGGCTGAAGTATTTGAAATCTCAGAAAATAAAAATGCACTCAAGCCTCAGACTTGCTTGAAATATCAGCAGAAGCTTGGTCAGGCATCCAAAGTGGAAACTACCACCTCTGGTGCTGAAGTTTATCTCTATACACCAAATAAGGGAATGCTAATACCAGCTGGTCTGGGCTCTCCACCCAGTCATGGCACAGGGCCAGACCCCAAGCCAAGCATCAACAAAAAAGAAGATAAAAGCATGCAGGAAGTCCGACGGCTGCACAAGGAGCTGAGGAACTATGTCCAGAAAATCGAAGGATTGACAAAAAAAGGTAAGACTCAACAACAGTCATGTGGTGAAAAGGCAATCGCTTACTACCTCCCACAAGTAGATGCAATGCCCAGCTAATCTGTGAGCAATGGCTACCTTCCTTCCCAAAAAAGTCCATTTTTGTTATTGCTGAGCATGGTCTGGAACATGCCTTTGGTCAGTTGGGGTCAGCTGTCCTGGTCATGTCCCCTCCCAGTTTCTTGCACACATCCAGGCTGTGCACTGATAGGACATAGTGCTGTGCAAGTACTGCTCAACGATAGCCAGAACACTGTGGGGCTATCAACACTTTTAGTCATAAATCCAAACCAGCAACATACTGGTGACCGTGACGAAGACCAATTCCATGGCAGCCAGCCCCAGTGTACACCACATTGGTTCTTTTGTAATAACTACTTGAAAGTTTTAACTATTCCTAACTTTGACTGCTTTACCTGCATTGCTGTCATAAAACTAAGAGGTTGTATTGCTTTGGAAGCTATAACTAATAGGCTATATTATATAAGAATGTTTTGTCAAATTCTAGATAGAAACGTGATGTAGAGTTAAAATAACTAGCTTGTATTACTGCTCAAGGGAGCCCTGCAAATATGATACCTTGTGTATTGGTTCTGCATGAAAGAGCCTTATTGCTAAACTTCGTTTGTTCTCATGTCTTAATCGGGATTTTTGCAGGTTAAATTAAGACATAAAACTTTTTCATTTCATGCTTTTTTAGGTGGAGA